GTCCATGCATAACTGAGATCCGGGTCCGGAATGGTGAAAATGTGCGATTTCAATGCATTTTCGGCCTTAAAGCGGCCGCCATTTGGCTATCGTTAATGAGATCATGAAACAAATGCACATACATATTTGTGACATGATGTACCTTGTGTGTGTGAAGTTTGAACTTGATCAATCCAAGCATGTCTCAGATACGGATCCAGAACTGAATTCTTTAAAACAAAATGGCCGCCAGTCGGCCATTTCGAACCCGATCCAAAAAAAAAAATGACGTGCATCAAGGTCCTATTATGTTTAATGTATGTACCAAATTTGAACAAAATCCGTCCATGCATAACTGAGATCCGGGTCCGGAATGGTGAAAATGTGCGATTTTGATGCATTTTCGGCCTTAAAATGGCCGCTATTCGGCTATCGTTAATCGGATCATGAAAAAAATGCATGTGCATATGTCCCATATAATGTGTGATGTATGAGTGAAGTTTGAACTTAATCGGTCCATGCATGTTTGAGATACAGGTGATCACGGACGCACGGACGCACGGACGGACGGACGCACACAGGGCAAAACATAAGTCCCCGTTTTCGGACTGCGTCCGAACGGGGACTAATAACAAATAATGTTGTATTGTGCTCACTGTTATGTTGAAGTCCGACATGGTTTGTCTAACAAACTAGGAAGATATAGTTAGTGGGCACCCAACAACCATCTAAACGAGAAAAAAACGACGGTGGATATGCAGAAATCAATCCATTGAAAATTAAAACTATACAACTTATCAACTTGACTTGAGATTGCACTGACGTGGCAAAAGTGATTTATCAGATTGTAGACGTGAATTCACTGAGCAGGCAATAAGTTCAGCTTAACTTTTCAATGCGTCACTTACTAGCCATGTTTTACAATGAAAATGTGATGTCACGATAGTGGTGAATTAATACGTCACCAGTCAGTAATTTTAGTGATTTTATTATATCAACTTGAGCAGTAAGTGAAAGTGAGAATGTCATGCAATGAATAGTTTTTTTATTGTTTATCATAGCAAACGTGAACAGAGCACTGGAAGCACGTGTGCATATAATCGTCATCACTGTGCCATTGTACTACAATGGTACGAGAATCGCAAATGGATATGATACGGCAAATCAGGATTTCTGAAGAAAGCTATTGTTTTAATAAATTTAAAGACACATCATTTGTATTTTAGTAACACATTCCGTAATAGATCCGATATTAATTAAGCCATTACAAAATTTCTATGTAGCCATGGTTACTAGTAATCTGGAGTTATGTAGGACCATCCATGTTCAATAGCAATCTTGACTAGACCGCTATACACATGTTATAGTGTCATCTGCTTGCAAATAACTAATGCTGTGCAAGTAATTAACGACATCCATTCACATAGCCATATCTCCAATGAACAAACGCCCGGGCGACTGAATTGGGCATTTAAAATGCCACATTTGATACATACATACATCAATCCTCTTTTACTTCTTCCCGCCTCCAGAAATGTACGCAGCTGTGGAGAGAGACAATAATGAACACAGACTGAACGCATGACCCCCCCCCCCCCCGAAAGGTTACACATCCTGGTAATTTATAACTTTACATATCAATAAGAATTTCTCAACTACCCGCTCCACAATTTAAAAAAAAATCAAAAACAGCTAAATTTGGGGCATAAGGTTGGAGATTACTACTGTTATAGAGCAGCACGATCCCAAGAAAGTATCGAGAAACGCCACCCACTGGTGATACGACTGGATAACGTGACATGATCGTAGTCGTGACGTTTGGCATGTGTGCGCATACCGGATATACGTGTAACGTAATCATGCATACATGATATTGTGTCGGTGGATGTGCCAATCGATGTAACAAAAATGAAATTTCCCTTTCCAGAATATCAACAGACATGTTTTATTTCACGCCATGGCAAAACCAGGAATCTTGCTACATTTGGGGAAGTGGTCTATTGTGAATCGTACCTATAGAGAGGTGAATGGCAACAGTTGTCATAAAGTTAACAGTGACTGATAACAACTGTGACTAAAATACAAATCAAACCAATTATAACAAAATCTTACTGTTAAAACGAGAACAGTGATCAAAATCGAATAAAATTACTTCTTAAGATTAAATCAAATCAGCCCAACTAAAAAAAGAATACACTTGAAAATACTTCCTGTATACTATTAATTCAGTTTGAGAAATAGTAACCGCTATAAAATCAAATTTTAATTTAATTAATTTTAAAGTGCATCATCCCAATATTAAAGTTATCCCATATATAAACAAGATAGTTTCATGTAATAATTCCCTGTAAATATTTTGAGTTCACACTGCACGAAATACCTTTAATCCATATGAATACTTGCAGCTGTATTTTAGTAGAATACACACATATTTACTACAATCCATGTGAATACAGGCTAGCTTAATACAGGCTGAATACAGCCATGGGTATTCATAAGTATAAGCACTCATTCAATACAGGGTGAATATAGTTGAATACAGGAAGTATTCACCTAGAATACTTCCTGTATTAGCCTCGATAGAAAGTGAATTCATGCAAGTCCAACAAAGTAGTATACAGCATGTATTCATGGTTACTCAACATGTATTCATGTGAATAGCGCCATCAGGGCTCATTTGTAGAAATGATCATGGCATGGGATAGAAGTTGAATATTTGATCCAATTTTGAAGTCATAATCATTCTATTTCCTTAAATTTAATGCATGTTGCCATAACTGTGTTCAATATATCCACAGATAATAGCTAGACATGCACTCCATTTTATTCAGAACAATATGCTAATTGCAAGAAAAGGGATTGAATTTCTACAATGGACATACCATATTTGCTCTATTAGAATTGCACCTCCAATAGAGATACATATATATACAAGTGCAAAA